AGCACCTTCACCCCGTTGCAGTGTGCTCTTGTTCAGCTGTGGTGCAGTGCCCTGAATTCACCTTTCACATGATCCTTGGATTGGCAGCCAGCCATGCCCTCCTGTGCTTAGCCCTGGCAGCTCCAGGAGGAGATTGGAGGTGCTGGCCCTGCTTGGGTGAGACCCTCTGTTTTGACAGGTACAGAGGCAGTCACCCTGGTAAGAACTGTAGGCTCGAGAGTAAACTTTGTTTTGTGATCAGCTTGGTGGCTGTGTCCCAGGATGAGGAGTGTGATGAGAGTGAGCAAGAGAAGGGGAAGGCAGCCATTGGGGAGGGGAGGAAGGCCTGTGGGGCTCTGTTTGAAGTGAGCAAGGCAGATCTGTTTTCAAAATGTTGCTTGGCTGGGATTTGCTGCAGCAGGGACAGTCCCTGCCCTGGGGTGTGTTAGTGTGCATCCCTCTGCCCCTGGCAGAGTGAAGGCAACCCAAGTGGTGAAACCTTGTCCCCGGTGCTTTATGTGATGGTCTGCCCTCCTGCTTGCTTGTTACCTGGAGAGGCAGCTGGACCCCTCCTAAAGCATCCCACATGGGCTCCTTCACGTCATCTTTCCATCAAGGACTAACTCAGTCCCTGGTGCTTTTTGGAGCCAGCAGCAGGGCTCCTCTGCATCTAGTTACAGTGTGGGGCACACCCCCATCCCCCAGCTTCACACCAGCCCTGTGAGGGCAGTGCCAGAGTTAGAAAATGAGCCTCTGGCACTCCTGGATGCAGGACTGGTCTCAGGGCCACACTGGGACAGGAACGCAGGTCTCCAGCTTTGGGGGGTTGTTAGGGGCATGAAGGAGCAGAGTATGGCAACGCTGGCTGTGCTGATGACTTGGTTTGAAATTATACTGCATCTTTCAGGATTTGCCTTGTATTTTTTACCATCTTCACTGTATACTCTCCAGTGAGTTGTATTTTGAAGCTTGGTGTTGTAAGATGCATTATCATGACTCTTCTATTGCCCTTTCTTAAAGACAAAAAGCAACCTATTTTGAGAGCTCTGACAGTAACCAGACTAATTTCTCTTCCCCACTGCCCTGTGCAGTGTCATTTCTTGTTGACTTGCTGGTTTCCTTTTTTGGGATACCAACTGAAATATGAGGGTATTGTGTTTGGGGGTTTGTTTGGTTTTTTTTAAACTATTTAAGAAATTGTGGAAAAATGTTTACCTGATCTTTGTACTCTGTTTTTTTCTTAACCTTTTTCTCAGCTCAGCCAGTATTAGTGTTTACATTTGCAACTACCTGCCCTTTCAAATGCAGTTTTCAACCATTCTGAAACCAACAGGGTACACTAGATTTCTTAGTAGTTTTCTAAGCTGAAATCCTAGATGGTTTCCTTTTTTCTTCAGTATAATTTACCAGAAACAATTAACTGATGCATTTTTGTGTTGTCTTCCCCTTCAGTAGTTATATTTTGTCTTTTCTGCACATCTGTCTACTAATAAAAATGTGAAATGAAAATATCCCAGTATGTTACTTCCCTGTTATTTGAGTTGGTTTATTTGCATAGGTTAAAGCTTTGAATAACAGCTGTTCACAAATTCAGTGGTGCTCCAGTATCAATGCCTATACATATACATAAATATTTACAAGGTTATTGGAAAAATAAAGCTGCTGTTTGACAGCTGCCTACACCTAAGAGTAAAGAACAAACTGATTTGGAAAAGCACTTTGGCAAAAGGCCATGGGCTTTGCTGTTATAATTATTTATTCACCTTAAGTCAGCAAAGGAAAGAGCAGGGAGAAGATAGTTCATGATGTCATATGACTGCAGCAGGGATGCAAGGACTTGGGGTAAAGGTGCTGCTGCCATGGGGCTGGGGTGCTGCTGGTGGCCAGTTCCTTGGGAAGGCAGGAGCATGACATTCCTGAAATGGTCAGACAAGGTGGCGGGAGCTTGTTTTTTGGGGTGGGGTGCTTTGACCTTATGCGGAAGAGTCACAGAGTTACTGAGGTAATCGCTGCCAACCACCCCTTTGGAGTGCTCGTCCTGCCTGGCCCATGCTGTTCCCTGATGGCTCAAGAGTGCAGAAGTTTTTGGTTTTGCAGTGCTAAAATTAGCAGGACACATGTACAGGCATTGCATTTGCTACAATTGACATTGTTGGCAGCACAGCAACTGCTGAGTCAAATGTGGTTGGGTGTCGCTGTTGAGACGGCCAAAGCGACAGAATTTTCTTCCAAAGCAGGGACAAGATAGCAAGAAGGCTGGAAGATTTTTATTGCAACAGGTTGCAGACATTTATACTTTTCACACAACACACACGTCAACTTACTATTGGTGCCTTCATATAAACATACATTAGGCCATACACGTCAATCTACTATTGGTGTCTTCATGTATAAATACATCAGGATTGGCTGCAAAATAGCAAACTCATGCTGACACAGCTTTTGTCGAGCCATCATGACCCAGCTAGAGCAGAGTACAGGAAGTCCGTTTCTGTCTTCCATCTTCTTCCTTTCTGAAGGTTGCCCACATTCCTCTGCATGCTGTGTGTTCTCCTCCTTTCAGGGGTATACTGTAATCTGGTTTATGTCTATTGCTTCGTCGATAAGTGCCAGGCTGCTGACAGACCTGCTGTCACCCCCGACAGTTGGGGCCTGAATGTTTCTGCTTCACAGCCATGCTGGAGGAATGGTGATGGCATTGCAGAGCTGCCAGCCTAGAGGAGTCTCCATTATGGGGAATGAGACTGAGCAGGATGGTGCTGTCTGGGCCTTCTGACTGGAATCAGGCCTGCTTGTAGCTCCTGCCTGGCTTCTATAGCACCAGCCTGCCCTGAGCTGCCAGTAGCTTCCTAATCTAGCAGAAGGTGTTGTACCAAAGCCAGGACAAATGCTCCAAGCTGCCCTGCACTGGGCAAACCTGGCTGCCCCTTGTGCAGTGGTTGGGGTTTTTTTGGGGGAGTGGAGTGGGTTTTTTTCTCCATTTCCTTGATGTACAAGTGCAGCAGAACAACCTTGGCTCTACCATCAGACTGTGGAACAGAGGCTTAGAGAGGAAATTTCTGCAGAAGAGCCCTGCTGGAGCCGACAGGATAAGGAAAGGGGAAAACATCCTGTTTAGGCTTGCCAGGGGAGGGAGGGGAGACAGTTAGTCCCCAGCCTGCAGAAACATTTCAGGCCCCAAAACCAGTGGCAGTGGGACAGCAGCTGCCAAGGGCTTTCAGCAGTTGCTGAAGTTTGACCATTATCAAATGCCAGTGCAGTTCCTGTTGTGCTGCTCCAGAGGTAGAAGGAGGTCTGGGTGACTTCTTCCCAGCCAACTAGATCCCACAGAACCTGAGAGTTGATGAAAGTGTGACTAAGAAAAGTGGTCCTCATGGTAGAAACAATTTTTTTTTTCCCTTGTAAGAAACAGATTTGGGAAGTGCAAAAAAAGCCCCTCACCTCTTGAATGGACACACATGGCTTCATATTTACCCACCTCCTCTGCTGCACAAGGCCTGGATGCTCAGGAGGATGAGCCTGGGGCAGGAGCTATCCCTCAGATGCCCTCACCACTGACCTTCCTCCTGGTGGATGTCATAGAATTCATGGGCAAAGCAAGGGAGGGCAGTGCTGCTGTGCTCCCTCCTTACCATTCCAGGCTGCTCCACAGGGCCAAAGACAGAGCACAATGCCAGAGGACAGGAAATGCAGAGATACGATGCTTGCAGCAGGAGTGCTGCCCAGGATCCCATCCCCACTGCAGCTGCCTATGAGCTCTCAGTACCAAGGTGTGCTCACCTTTGTCATGGTATTCAGCATCCCCTGCAGACCCATCTCCTGCTCTTACCTTCCCAGCAGGAGGAGGTATAAAAGGACAGGCTGTAAAAGCAAAACTGCTCCAGGCTTTTGAAAATGCAGACAAACACCAGTGATATGCTTAGATATTTATTAGGTGGAGGAAGGGCTAAAAAGAAATGAAACTCCTAAAACATTCACCGCACTGGTGCAGAACAAGAAGGACCAGGAGTTGCCTCCAGGGTCTCGTTTTAGAAAAAATGGGGAGGGACAAGTAAAGTTTTCATCAAGTAGCTGTGTCTTTCCTGGGCAGGGTGGCTCAAGGCAAAAAGAGGTAGAAGACAGAGCTTATACTTTTATTTAAGAAACCGCTACATAGTTTTTGCCTGTAATGATGGAAGTTGCAGGACCCACTGAGCCATCCAAAGTCTCTTGCTAGAGAAAGAAAAAAAAAAACCCAACACCAAAACACACAACCCCCCCAACAAAAAATCCCAAACAAACAAAAAGCACAAAACAAAAAAAAAAAGGCTTTTATTATTAAAAAATTGAAAAATAAAAAGGTGAGGCTGCAGCTCAGGGCCACAGTGGACAAACTGCCCATGAGAGTTCATCTTCCACAGCAGGAGGGAGGGAGGAGATGAAAGAAAGGGGAAGACTCACAAAACTTTTCCTTCCCCCCACCCCTTTTTTATCTCTTTAAAGTAACAGCTATATTGGGGGCTGAGGACAGAAATCAAACCAACAGGACACATCTTGATTCTTTTTTTTTTTTGGAGGGGGGGAAGGCAGGTCTCCTTATTTGCCTGAATTTAGAACTGCATTAAATAAATGGGCTCCAGCTCCAAAAAAATGGCACAGTTTGTCTTTCAACAGAGTTATAAAGCTTAAAAACATGGAAGGATGCCCTGGTGCAGATGGGAAATTAATAATAAGTTTTCCTACAAAGAAAATAAAACAGGCTGCAAGACAGAAAACCACATTTAGGCTCTATTACATTTACAAATACATACATAAATATATTACATACAACAGCAACTCAAAGAGGAAGCAGGCGAGTCACACAGAGGACGGCTGGCTGGCTGGCTGGCTGGCTGGTTGCACTTCTCCCCGCACAGACATTTGGCTGAGCAGTTACTTCTCCTATTAATTCTAAGAATGGGGTTTGGCTTTTTTCTTTCTCTCTCTTTTTTTTTTCCTCTCTCCTCTCCTTTCATTCTCTCCCCCCTTCCCCGGTTTCAGATTTAGTTTGTCCAGTATGGAGAAGTGCCATAGGTGGTTTTGGTAGCCTGAGATTTTTGCTGCATGGTGCTGGGTTGATTGCGTTGGCCAGATCCACCCTAGAAATTAGAAAGAAAGGAGAGATGAGCACCAGCACTCCCAGGAAAGCAAGCCTGTCCATACATCAGCAGAAGAGCTCCCACCCAACGCAGCAACGGATCTGTTTCTGCTCTGCAACATCTCTGCATCCTGCAATCCAGGACAGTCACAGAGAAACCAAGCAGAGGTGTGGGGACACACCATCCCACCACCTCCCACCCAAGACAGGTTCAAGGACAAGGAAGGAGAGGAGCAGGACAGGACAACAAAGGAGCTCTCCCAAGATGAACGGAGGCGGTGCACCAGCCAAGGATGCCACACATTCAGAAAGTCATTTCATATTTCTGGATTCTAAAGCAGAACACTGTTTTTTCTGGGAACATTTATAGTGAGGAAAGGAAATACATGAGCTGGTAAAACCAAATCAGAAATTGGAGCCAACATGCAACCTGCAAGGGGATGCTTGATTTTTCCCCCAGAATTACAGTACAAGTGCTCACATCTTGCTCTCCTGCCACAGCCAGGGGACATCAATGCCTGCCTCGGCTTCAGACCTCACAGCCCATTTCTCCACACCCCACATTAGGATGGTCTTTTCACAGAATCACACAGCCTGGCTGAGGGTGGCAGGGACCTCTTGAGGTATCTTGTCCAATCCTTGTGCTCAAGCAGGGTCACCAGCTCAGGACCAGACAGCTCCAAGGATGGAGACTCCACAACCTCCCTGGGCAACCTGTGCCAGTGCTTTGTCACCATCCCAGTAAAAAAGTGTTTCCTGATGTTCAGAGGGAACCTCCTGTGTTTCAGTCTGTGCCCATTGCCTCTGGTCCTGTCACTGGGAACCACTGACAAGAGCCTAGCTCCATCCCTTCAGGTATATATATATATTGATGAAAACCCCCCTGAGCCTTCTCTGCTCCAGGATGAACAGTCCCAGCTCTCTCAGCCTTTACTGATAAAAGAGGTGATCCAGTCCTTTCATCATCCTTGTGCCCCTTTGTCCCATACATCCATGTTTGTCTTGTACTGGGGAGGCCAGAACTGGACACGGGACTCACCAATGATGAGCAGAAGGGAAGGATCACCTCCCTTAACCTGCTAGCAGCACTCCTCCTAATGCAGCCCAGGATCCCATTGGCCACCTTTGCAGCAAGGACACATTATTGGCTCATGGTTAACTTGGTGTCCACTAGGATGCCCAGGGCCTATTCTGCCAAACTGCTTTGGCCCCTAGCATATACTGGTGCATGGGGTTGTTTCTCCCCAGGGGCAGGACTTGCCATTTCCCCTTGCTGAACTTAATGAGATTCCCTCCCCAAGCTGGTCAACAGCATCGAGTCTATTAGTCTACAATTGCTGTCAAGGCCCTTTCCCAATGAGCAAAGCAAAAACCCCCAAGATCCTGCTGGGGAATGTGCCCTCAGGCACACTGTAGATGTGGAAGGGGCTGACTTACCTGCCCATCTTGCTGAAGGTGGTGATGCAGCATCTGGGAATGAGGCTGCTGATGTGCAGGGAGGATATGGAGAAACGGGGCTGGAGCATAACCCGGGGCAGCACCAGGGTTCAGGGGCCCAGTCGATCCGAGACCAGAGGGTAGGCTAAAAGGAGGTGGTGTGCCAGCATGGAATCCCTGCTTGTCAAATGTCTGCACAGGAGGTGAGGAGGACAGCATCAGAGACTGGTGTGAGCAGCCCAATGGTGACCAAACAAGAACAAGAGTGCCCCAGACACATCACCTGAAACTTTCACCAACCCCATGAGCATGCCAAGTTACACCTGAAAGCACTTCATCAGATGAGTTTCAGCTCCTTTTCTCATCCGTTCTTTTGCACTAATGCTTTCAACATTCTATTTCCACAGCTACTATGCCCTTTTTTTCCCCTGACCTCTTTTTATTCAGTGGGACGTGGGATGGCAGCAGCTGCCTGAAATTAGTCCTTCACACATTATGGGGGCTCAGGCTGGAATTACTTGACCTACCCAGGGCAGCCCAACAAAAACACAAGAACTACTTTTCCTCCCCCTGACCAAAGCTCAACCCAGCCTCTTGACTCACTTGCTTTGGGGGATACTTTTACCAAAAGCATTAGTGCCATCACACTTCATTTGCACCCAGGACATAGCACATGTGGGGAAGCTTGGGCAGCATAGTGCTGCACCTATGCCAGCAGCTGCCGTCAGGAGCTGACATGGCAGAAGCAGTGGGACAGAGGGCGAGACTCCTCTCCAACAGCAAACAGAGACAGCATAAGAAATGCCACAGCCTGTTGACCCTGAGACCAACTGGTCTGGGAACGGCCCTAGCCTCCTCCACAAGGGGAGCCATCAGCCTGGCCGCAGACCACAGGGGAAGAGGGTCCAGCATTACTCACCTGAGTCTTGTTATAGACTGAGCCGTTGATATCAGGCACACCCGTGTTACTTGAGGTCACAGAAACACCTGGAAAACAAAAAGCATCCACCAACAATGGGAAAGTCAACCACCACCTAGCATGAGCCCCATGCTTTTCTCCCAGCACCTCTGGCAGCCTTAGTGGATGCACCTTTGTTTGCAACCACTGCACCCCACACCCTGCTGCTGGCCCACCCAATGGGGTTCTCCATGCTGTCAGAGTACTCCATACAGGAACAGAAGAAATGGCTCGGTTCCTCACTCCCACCGCAAAGCAGGAAACCAGTCCACTGGGATAAATCACCCACATTCACAACCCAGTGGTTACCACTTGGATTCAAATGCACTTCACCAGGCAGCAGCTGGCTGCACCAAACACTCATTTAAGCTCACAAAAAGGCAGCTTTCCCCTAAGATTAGGGGTGCATTTGGCTCTACTGTAGCATTCAAGAGCTTTTCAGTAGTGCACTAAGCAATGAGACTCAGCATCTGCTACACATTTGAGCCCTTGTCCTTTTACATCCTGCAGAAGGGTGAGGTCTGCGATGCTCCTCTGCCCCAAGAAAATTAATATCACTGATTCAGGCTGGCTTCCACCTGGACAGTCTGGTGCCATAAGAGGCTCAGAAACACTCACCAGCAAGGTGATTCTCAAACCAGCCACTTATTCAGTCTTATAAAGACTGGCTCTAATAATTTCACTTGGATCAGAATAAAATCAGCTGTTCCTTTGGCCAGTAAATCAGAGGACTGGGCTCACAGGGTGCACACTGCTCTATGGTTGTTCCCTTCCTAGGACATTGCTCCTTTTTGGATTACTCCTCCACAGAGGAGAGCGTGATTACCTCTTGGCTGAAGACAGTGTTTCAAATGCACAGCAAATGCTTGGTATTTGCTTAAGTCCAAGGATGAACTAGTTAGTGTTAAGCAGTTAAGTACACACTTCTCAGGTCTAACCAGCATGTGCAGAATAAAGCTTTCATATGAGCTGTGTAAATTCTTCAGCCTTTACAGTCACAAAGGAAACATTTCCAGGTATGAAACAAGGCAATGAGTTACTGATGCCTTAAAATCTATATAAGATTTTAGTATAGCTCATTAGTACTTTTAGCTCGCTAAGTACCTTCGTACAAGATTTCTGAAAATGCTGTTTAACATTCCTTGTCAAGAATTTCAACAGACAAAAGATTTTAGCAAGGTGAAGAGCTACTTATCTGTAGAAATGTACTAAGAAAGAGACATGACAGAGTCACACCACTTGATATAAGTAGTCAAAGCTACCCAGAGGCCTTGAAACCATTCCAAGGAGGACAGAGATGACGAGGAAGACAAAGATGAAGATAAAGGGGTGGACATTTTAGGACTACTGTCTCAAATTTGGGAGGCGAAGATGGTACTGTGGGTGGGATGGTTTGGGAAGTGGGTGTAACAGATGATGTAATGTCTGGATATTATAGTATAAAAACTGTAGAACCTCTGTAATTCGGGGGCATACTTTGGAAATGATTCCTATGCACCCAGCATGCTGTAAATAAATGAGTGCTTTTTGCTTTCTAATACTCAAAAGAGTTTTAGAAAGTTATTTTCTGGCTTTTAGGCATCATTACAGGGTGTACAGACAGAAGCTAAACAGCCCAGAGATGTATGGAGTGCCCTGTTCAACCCTAACACATGGCTACCTCAAGTGCCTACCAAGAAACTCAATCTAGTCTTCATTTTTCAGAGAACTATTTCAGCAACAGCATTCAACTGCTTAGGCTTCAAAAACACAGCACTGCTGAAGGATCACTATATTCTTCAGCAAAAAAACTTTGGCAGAGGTAACAGCTCATCATTTCTCCAATGTATAATTGTGGACAAAGCTGCGCATCAGCCACACAAATCCTTGTGCAAAGTTCAGCCATGAGGTTTAGAAGGAACGCTTGGGCCATTATAAAGCATTCTGTATATGGGAGATGGAGAAACAGCTTGGATCATGACCCTGTTTAGAGTTGGCTACTGTGTTGACTGTACAGCACTGGGAGTTGGCCCTACTAAATCCCAGTCAAGAGCAACCTCATGTTACCTTTCCCAGGTCCAGCGCCAGCAGATTTGTTTTGTGCTTGAGATGACACATTGTAGCCTCCTTTGCTGTAATCTCCAGCTGCCGCTCCCTGTGTTAAGTCATCATAGCCTGCCAGTGTGTACAAGACAAGGTGTTACAGTGAGCAAGCAGCTCTGCAGACATGCATGTGAAAAGCACAGTGGTAAGCATACCTGCTCCATAGCCGTGCTGCCCATAGCCACTTGCTTGCTGAAAAGGAGTCGAGGTGGTGTTAAGGTTGACTCCATGCTGTTTAGCAGATGCTGGAGGTACCTGGACAAAGGAAGGAAACAGAAGACTGTTAATCAGGGAACAGCACACAAAACACAAGCTCCCTCTGCCATCTAGTGGAGAAGTCACCTTCCCTTCACATGGAAAATTCAATCTGGAGTTCAGAGCACTGGGCTGACAAGGGACATGGCACTCACACTTCCAGAAGTAAATTGCTTTATGCAAGCCCCAAGTTTTCTGCCAGAGCTGCCCCTCTGATTGCAGCACAACCCTCTCTCAGAACAGGCTGCGTATTTCTTTAGAACCATTAAGGTTGGAAAAGATCTCCAAGATCATCAAGTCCAACCTTCAACCAAACACCACCATGCCATTTAAACCATAGCACTAAGTGCCACGTCCAGTCATTTCTTGAACACTTACAGGGATGGTGAATCCACTATCTCCCTGGGCAGCCCATTCCAATGCTTAGCAACCCTTCCTGTGAAGAAATTCTTCCTGATGTCCAACTTGAACCTCCCCTGGTGCAGCTTGAGGCTATGTCCTCTTGTCCCCCCCCGGGCAGATGGAGCTCGTCAGCCCTGTAAGGCCATCCATCTATGAGAAGGTCACTCTAAACAAACCTACGTCCTGAGGACCTCACTGCCATTGTCCAAGCTTGCTTGGCCCCGGCAGATGAACCTTAGGATTAAAGGGTGGGCTCAGTTCAGCGCATGCTGTGTCTCACCTAAAAAATCCATTGCGCAGGCTCGAAAGGTAAAAGACCTTTCCCAAAATCTTCGTTCGCGAAGACTGGCCATACTAGTTGCCTGGGAGAAGAGGCCAACTCCCACCTGGCTACAACCTCCTTTAAGGTAGTTGTAGAGAGAATAAGGTCTCCCCTGAGCCTCCTTTTCTCCAGGCTAAACAATCCCAGTTCCTTCAGCCGCTCCTCATAGGACTTACTTTCTAGACCCTTCACCAGCTTTGTTGCTCTTCTCTGGACCTGCTCCAGCACCTCAATTTCTTTCTTGCAGTGAGGGGCCCAGAACTGGACACAGCACTCGAGGTGTGGCCTCACCAGCGCTGAGTACAGGGGAAGAATCACTTCCCTGGACCTGTTGGCCACATTGTTCCTGATACAGGCCAGGATGCCATTGGCCTTCTTGACCACCTGGGCACATGCTGGCTCATGTTCAGCCAGCCGCTGACCAGCACCCCCAAGTCCTTTTCCACCAGGAAGCTTTCCAGCCACTTTGCCCTCAGCCTGTAGCACTGCAGGGGGTTGTTGTGACCCAAGTGCAGGACCCAGCACTTCGCCTTATTAAACCTCTTTCATACGCTGACTGTAAACAGCAAATTCTCACCCACAGAATCAAATGAAACATCAACTGCTGCCTGAGGCTGTTACATAAGACACAGTCCTACAGGGCCCTAAAATAGACTCATTTACCTTTCTGCTTGGAGCATCACCTCTTTCCAAATAACATTTTCTTTCCTGAGACTCCATGCTCTCTGACTTAATGGAGTCTCCTCCATCCTCAAAAGGATTTCCTAGGCATCCTTGGCTCTTGACTCAGCTTTGGGTCTCTCTTTGACTATCCAGAGGGTGCTACAGGCTTTCAGGAACACCAAGTCCATGAGCTGCAGCTGTCTGCTATTTATAGTGATCTGTACAGGAATGCATGAGTTCTGGACTTCTAAATTTCCTATTTTCTTGGGGAAGAGACTGCAGGTATTTTCTCATGCTTGCATGTTTTTGGAGATCCCTTGCAGACTGGGAAATATGACTCTACTCTGCTGTCATGAGACCCCACCTGGAGTACCATATCCAGTTCTGGGGTCCCCAGCACAAGAAAGACAGACTTGTTAGAGTGAGTTCAGAGGAGGGCCATGAAAATGATCAGAGAGATGGAACACCTCTCCCATGAAGAAAGGCTGAGAAAGTTGGGGTTGTTCAGCCTGGAGAAGAGAAGGCTCCAGGAATACCTTATTGTGGCCTTTCAATACTTAAAGGGAGCTTATAAGAAAGACACAGAAACATTTTCTACCAGGGTCTGTAGTGACAGGACAAGGGGAAATGGCTTTAAACTGAAAGAGGGTAGATTTAGATTGGACATAAGAAAGATGTTTTTTATGATTAGGGTGGTGAGACACTGGCACAGGTTGCCCAGAGAGGCTGTGGCTGCCCCATCCCTGGAAGTGTTGAAGGCCAGGCTGGATGGGGCTTTGAGCAACCTGGTCTAGTAAAAGGTGCCCCTGTTCATGACAGGGGTGTTGGAACTAGATGATCTTTAAGGTCCCTTCTGACCCAAACCATCCTGTGATTCTAAGATGTAGAAGGTTTGGGCTGGAGAGATCAAAACCAGAGAGGCACGCAGGGAGGGTTACAGTTTAGGCTGTCACACTTACGAACATGGTTGGCCCATATTGGAATGCACTGGGTACACCGGGCACACCAGCATAATAAGGTAACCCAGTGTAGCTGTACCCTGGGGGCAGGGTCGGGTTGAGGAATGGCTGCTGAGTTGTATGGTGAGTCTGCGGCTGGTTCTGCTGCGGCTGGGCGAGTGTGGTAGTAGGAGCAGGGGAGGCAGAATCCCCACGGCCAAATTTTGTTATGTCACCTGCAAAAGAATGAACTGATCAGAAAAGCTATCAAAGCTACTCCAAAAGTGGAGAATTCAAAGGATTCAAAACCTCTGAATACAAGTAGACAACTACAGAAGAGGACACATCCTACACTTGAAAGCCTGCAGTTGTTCATGGGAAGCCTTCTCCCAGTCTCTGTTCCTGATGGCCACAGGGACATTGCCTGTTCGTGGCACAGAACTCCATGCCATAGCTAATCCATTGATAAAATGGAGATACCAATACTTACCTATCTCACACAGTCTGAGCAGATTCATTATATCAGATCATTGCAATAAAACATGCTAAAAGCAAAAGTATGGCAAACAGCCAAAGAGCAAATAGTTGTTGGGTTAAAGTGTGACTCTCCTGGAGGTTAAACTGACTAGTAAAGCCTCATGGGCTGAAAGCAAGTTAGGATTTACAGGAAGTGATAGGCATATTTTTATCAATGTCTATTTGTCAAGCATGACTAGTTAATATGTCTGGTTCCTCACACCACCAAAGTTCTGGAGACAATAGCTGAAGGCCAAGAAAGCAAGATTTGCATTGTGGGCCACCTTTTTTAAGAAGTAGGAAAGGAAATTTGGTTATTACCCCAAAAGCAACCTCCTGAGAGAAATGATTACGCAGCAGAAAAACTCCTGAACACTTGCATTTTCTGGCAGCCTACAGAGCAGCATGCTCACATGTTTTTAGGGAGGTGACATATATCACTCATATCTATCTCATTCCCAACTAGTATTTCTTCATGTTCGTTACCCAAAAGTATGACAACACTTAATATCATTGTTATAGGAATTATAACACCTATAGCTACAGTTTTAAGCTGTAATCAGATTGCAGTGAAAGAAAACCACTGGCTGAAAGTTCTGGATGGCATTAACATAATCTTTGCACAACGATAACCGAAGAGTAAGAGCAGAAATGAACAAGGGCTTCTTAGACCACATGCTTTTGGGAATGAAGTCCATTAGATTTGAGGAGGGTGAGGGGGAGCCTGCTAGGTGCAGCTCCTCTTGAGAACACAGAAGTACTAAAATAGCAGTAACAAAGGAAAGCAAGCCAGTCAAATTTCAAGAAGAATGATCGAGCTATGGAATATTTTTCAAGCACCTGTATGTGCTTGGGAAGAACACTAGATGACACTACCATTTAAATTTGTAACAACTTTGCACTTACTCTCAAAGGTTATCCAACTTACTCCCAAGAACCTCCAAGTTACATATGAATTACTGACCAAAATCATGAAGAAAAATAAAATCAATAAAAAAAACTAATCAATGTCAGAGTTGAGAGAGAGATGCTCACTTTTGTTTGGCTAGTTTGGACTGATGGGTTTAATTGCCTACAGAAGGGAAAAATGACTGCTCTTTCAACAACAGCAGGATGACCAGCACATCTCACTCACTATCCTCGTGTTTAAATAGCACTCACCTGAGTAGGGGTTGTTAATAAGGCTTCCATCTCTGCCTGTCAAGGTTGCAGGAGCAGGGAATGTAATTCCATAGTAATCCTTAGAAAAAGACAACATCATTTATCAATAGCTGAAACCAAAACAGAGCTGGACAACTCTTATGAACCCTGTATTACATGCATAAGAAAATTTTAAAAGGAAGAACTAAAGGAAGTTTGGGCAGCAGCTGATATCGCTTAGCTGAAGATTTACCTGAATCCTCAACTTCAAAATAAACCTATTTTACAGACATTTTTAATATCATATACAAATACTTAATCTCTTTATGGTAAATTAAAGGCAACAACTAAATGCTTACACCTCCCAACCTTTAGCTCTGAGCTGTCATATTCCAGTGAGACTGTGCCTGGAAAAACAACAGACCATCAGGGGCCAAAGACCTAGGGTCAGGCCAGGACCATAATCACAGACTGGATGTAGTCTAAAGGTTTTACCATGCCCTGTTTTCTAAAAGTAAAAAAAATCAGCTAGGAAATCAGCACAAATACTAAAAAAACTGGTGAAAAAGAGTTACCACCTGATGACTGGAAAATTTAATTAAACTATATTACAAGAGAACTCAGATCAGTAGTTTCCAAAGTGGGGTGTGCAAGAAAATCCACTGGGGTGCATGAAGAAATTGGGTTTGGTACCATTAATAAATAAGGTTTAAAAAAATTAAAATAATAGCATGAAAGTAAAAATTTGTTCTCATCCTTTTGTTTTATTTTCATGTATGGTTTATAACATACATATTAGTGCAATAGTATACACATATAATTTATAAATAAAAATATATTGGGAGTGCTCACAAATTTTTTACTGATGAGGTGGTGCAATCAAAAAAGGTGGAGACCACTGCCTTAGATCATTCTTCTATAGGAAGGTAAGACAGTCCTCACCCTAGAAAGCTCACACTTCAAGATGACAGGACATGCCAGCAAAACCAAAGAAGCATTTTGTCTTCAGTTTGGGACAAGAGAAAAGTTTGCCTTTCCCTCTTTGGGTAAGCTCCACATGTGGGGCTGGTACTCTACTAAGTGATTTTCCTCCTAATTCTCATGGTTTTCTCCTTACCACCTCCAATCCATCAAGAATTAATACTTTAACCACTAAGATATCCATTTCCACACAATCTTCAACACTGGAAAAACATCTTCCTCCTTCGTACCCCTCTCTGCAAATTCCCCAGCACCTTCCACCTTGCTGCATTTCTGTGCATTCCTCCCCTGTCTCCTAAACCCAGTCCTCCATCCCTGAACCTGAAACCATCCGGCAAAGATTTAGTATTGCATGTACTTTCTGTAACTTGAAACAGTGACATATTTCATCATCCTTTCCTTCCCAGGTAATTCCACCTCAGCAACTCCAACGTGAATCACTTAACAAAACACAACCAAATTCCTAATAAAAGTCTTTGCAGGTTACACAAAAGCAGCACTCTCATCTCCTGAGGATCATAACACAAAAAGCAGATTTGGAGAAGAGATCTGAACAGGATTCAATGGACATGAACTAGAACTGACACAGTAGCATTTTCCCTCATATAAACCTGACAAAATATAACCAAATCTGCATGAGAACAGGGTCTAAGGATTGCAGTTGTTTCCGCTGCCCCTCAGGTAGGGGATGTGCTGGTATTGGCTGGGGTAGAGTTAATTTTCTTCCCAGTGGCTGGTATGGGGCTGTGTTTTGGAATTGTGCTGAACACGGGGTTGATAATTATAGAAATGTTTATGTTATTGCTGAGCAGGGCATGCACAAAGCCCTGAACACCTGCCTGTCTGTGGGAAGCAGTGAATGAATTCCTTGTTTTGCTTTTCTTGTGCATGCGGCTTTTGCTTTCCCTATTAAAGTCTTTATCCCAACCCACAAGTTTTCTCGCTTTTACTCTTCTGATTCTCTCCCCAGTCCCACTGGTGGGGGAGTGGGGGAGCAGCTGCATGGGGCTTGGTGCCTGGCTGGGTTTAACCACGACAGGAAAACCACATCAGCACTGAATATCCCTATCCCACACACCTCTGCATATACACATTCAAAACAAAAATCATTAGAAAATACTAGTGCAAACCTGTTATCTTTACACTTCATGCCCACCCATAGGAAAACATCAGAAGAGATACTCTGCTCTTCAAACAACACAGCTATTTCCTGACCTACAGAAGGGATGCAGGAGAAGGTGCCTAAAGTCAAAACTGAAATATCAGGAAGAGACTCAAAATGGAAGATAGAAAAGGACTGAAAAATGATAAGTGATCTGATGTAATAGATGTAAGCTATACCAAACAGCTTGCTAGGTACTGTGCACACCAGCTAAGGCATTTATAAGATCTCTACTACACAGTCAACCTGAAACAGACTAATAAAAAAGATAGCATACCCCAATGTAATACACACCAAAAATCAAACAAACAAACAAATCCAACCAAAAAACCCAAACCACAACACAGTGAGAATTTACAGCATCAACATAGACATTAAGAAATTGTAAGTGTAGAAAAATCTTCAGAAGAATTACTCGAGGAGGAAAGAGTTAATGCTCGCTCAAGGAAGCTTTGCTGCCTGGGAAAAAAACATTTTCCCATGAATAATTTTATGTGTTTTCTCTTACTCCTGCCTGCCATGGAGGTTGACTCCCTGTTACAAGACAAGCTCTCACAGACATGCTTGAAGGCCCCGCGGGGGGGGGCAAAGTGTGCTATAAAAAAGGCCCCGAGAGAACAAAAGCAGGCGTTTTTTTCATGCCCAGTGCTTAGCACCATACTGTTACTGGTTTTGGCTTTCAGAAATAAATTTTTCTAAATAGCCTGGTATCTGGGGTACCTGCGTGCAATTTTTCCCTCACAGAAATTGAATTAAATTTAAAAAGATATGCACATACCCTCCCCCAACTCACTGTATCAGCAGCCACCAGTACCTCTCACTACTGGAAGCTTCCCAGGAAGCAGTGACAACTTGCATTTGGGACTCTGTCCACTTTCACTTTCAAGATGTGAACAGACCAGTATGTCAAAGACAAATATTCCCAACAGTTCCTGCATCCCATACACCTAATATTGCCTAATTTCTACAACAAATTCAAAGCACAGTAAAAATACCCCAATAGCTAAAACCACAACCATTGCATGAATAATCGATGAAAAAACCTTCACAACATTTATGCATGTATTTATAAATATCAACACACTGAGGAAAAACTGGGGGGAGGGGGAAATGACAGATGACCCCAAAAACATTCTTTAAGATATTTGCAGAGAGGAAAAACACTTCCACCAGCAAGGCTGCAGATGCTATAGGGAAAGGTGGGAGAAAAAAAAAAGGCAAAAAACCAACAAACTAAAAATGTTTGTCAATAACAAATAAAACATGCATTAACTCATATATACAAATAATAACAGAGCATAAAATAAGAAAAATAGATGTTGGTTGACTGACAAGCTTGAAAATAAAACCAAGCAAGACCACTCACAAAAGAGACAAAAAGGAAACCCTGAAACACATCCTCAGTACAGCTACCCTAAAAGCCTCTGCTGCCACGCTTTCATCACTCGCTGAACCATAAGAGCACAGTGTGGAAAACTGTCAGGTTTGCTGTGTCAAAATGTGGAGAATTGATGAGACTAGTTGAGCAAGAACATGAGCTGAGCCACTTGCTTATCTTGCACCTGGCTTGCGCAAAGGCATTCCTAACAACTGAATGATGTCGGGGTGGAGGCCTCATAGCTCAATGTTGTCTCAATGAAGCTAGAAAAACAACCACAGAAGCCTCACAAAGAGCACCCATGTCTCTCTACCAGACATTAGCCTCACACCCCCTTATCCACACATAACAAGCCTTGTTAGAAGCTTATAAAATATGACTTAGTCTCATCACCTCAAGATTATAAATCTGGTACTTTGCAAACACTTAGTGGAAAGAAGAAACACCTCGTTAAGAGGAGACACTTCACTGATTGCTGGGCAGATTGACAGGTCTGACTCATTCTCCTTTCTCCATTAGCAGGGATGCCTTTTTAGGTAAGAAATTGCATTTACAGATGACACCCAGGTGAAAGTAAGCTTAATTAAATGTGAAGTTAAGCTTAGTGAACTGTGAATTGTCAACTTAGCTTAATTAATCATTGGCTAGCCTTAGGATATTTAGTGTTAACACAGCAAGTGCATTTATCAACAGCAATTCTGAATCTGTTATATCTGTCACCTCAATAAATTATCTATATTCAACTTTGCGAAACTGTCTCAGTGAAAGTCCGTGGAGGGGCTCTGCTAGGCAAAAGTCAAATCCATACTCAACACACAGGAGTCAGACTTCCCCCCATACCCCAACAGCAGCCCTCAGGAGAAAGAAAGCAAAACTGAAAATGGAAATGCTGTCTAGATGATGATGATGAAAGGAAAGCCACAAAACCATATGAAGCTGGCTACCCAGCAGCACCCCAAGCACACTCTTCACCCTCACCCACCACCAAACCTGACCAGGCTCCTGCCCAGCACCACCCATGCTGGACCCACAGCCCTACCTGCAGCATGGTGCCCCAGTGCTCCTGTTCCTCCTGCTGGCTTTTGCCACTGCCCTCGCTTGTCACCACCTGTGTCCCTGCGATGGCACCTTCCCTAAAGACAGCTCCCAGCTCCTCCAGGCCACGACCCCCAGGCCACCACAGCCCTGCCACCACCAGCATACACCATTTGCCTTCGACATCCTCCTCCACATCAACCACCTACAGCAAGCTGTCGCCACTGCCCTCCACATCCTCCAGCACTTCTTTGCCATTCTCAGTAGCCTCAGCGCTCCCCAACACTGGGATGCCCAGTGAAATGGGAGCCAGGCCTAAAAGAGTTAACTGAGATATCTTGGCCTGCTAAGAAACCCCAATACCTGTTTTGCTAGAAGAACATTTTAGGAGCACTGGTTAATATCATGTTCTGTTCTGCTCACTGGACCAAAGGCCTTATTATAGAAAGAATAGGAGTAGTACACACACAGTAATAAATTAGGTAAACTAGACGTTTGAATAAGATCTAGAAGGCCCAGAGCCAGCATTTTGCAAGCTTGAAGA